TGTGGTAGATTCATGCAATGGAATATTATACAGCAATGAAAACGAACAATTCAAAGCTACACATGAGAATATAAACAAATCCCTTAGTCATAAATGTTAAGAGAAAAAAGCCAGACATAAAGAATACACACCATATAGTTTAGTTTACATAAACTTCTAAGCAGGGAAAATTAACCAATGGTATTAGAAGTCAGGAGGGTGGTATTCTTGGTAGAGGAAGTGACCTGGAAGGGAAACAAAGGGGGCATCTAGATTGCTGGCAATACTGTTTCTTGCTCTCAGTGCTAGTTACATGAGTGTGTTCACTCTGTGAAAATTTATCAAGTTGTACATTTATTATTTGTGCACTTGTCTGTACATGTATTATACCTTAATTAAAAGTTTAATTAAAAAGAAACTTTACATGGGGCGCCTGGGTGGCTCAGTCGGTGAAGCGTCTGCCTTCGGCTCAGGTCATGATCCCGGGGTCCTGGGATTGAACCCTGCACCAGGCTCCTTGCTCAGTGGGAAGCCTGCTTCTCTCTCTCCCTCTGCCTGCTACTCCCCCTGATTGTGCTCTCTGTCAAATAAATAAATAAAATCTTTTTTTAAAAAAAGCAACCTTACAGTGTGTGGTAGACAATATAATGTCCCCCAAAGTTGTCTACACCCTAATCCCTAGAAGCTATGACTATGTTAAGTGTTTAAAAAAAAAACAAACCCTGATATGGAGTCACTTGCCCCCCCCCCAACAAGAGCAAACCAAGATTTAATTCCAGTTTCAACATATCCCAGGAATGTGACCTTTTAACAGTCAAGGTGAAATTTCCTGATCAGCACTAGTGAGGTAATCTGCATGATAAACACCCTACCTTTCTTTTCCTCTCAGAAAGATGTCCTGGCCTCAAACGATCATTTCTTTCCTTTTGCTAATAACTTCCTTGCCCCACCCTCCTATCTATAAAAACCTTCCCTTTTGTACAGCTCTTCTGAGCATTTCTCTATTTGCTAGAAGGGATACTGCCCAATTCAAGAACCCCTTAATAAAGCCAATTAGATCTTCAAATTTATTCGGCTGAATTTTGTTGTTTATTTATTTTTATTTTTTTTTTAAGATTTTATTTATTTGAGAGAGAAAGAAAGCACATGAGGGGGGGAGGGTCAGAGGGAGAAGCAGGCTCCCCACTGAGCAGGGAGCCCGATGCGGGACTCGATCCCGGGACTCCAGGATCATGACCTGAGCCGAAGGCAGTCGCTTAACCAACTGAGCCACCCAGGCGCCCTGAATTTTGTTGTTTAACATAAATTATATGGCAAAGGGAATTAAGGTGGCTAATCACCTGACATTAACATAGGAAGAGTATTTTGTATTATCCAGAACAATATAGTCATAGGGGTCTTAAAAGTGGAAGGGGAGAGGCACCTGGGTGGCTCAGTCAGTTAAGCCTCTGATTCTTGACTCTTGGTTTCTGCTCAGGTCATGATCTCAGGGTTGTGAGATCAAGCCCTGCGTTTGGGACTCTGCACAGGGCATGGATCCTGCTTAAAATTCTCTCTCTCCCTCTGCCCTTCCCTGCTCCCTCTCTAAAAAAAAAGTGGAAGGAGGAGGTAGAAGAGAGAGTGAAAAAGAGGTAGATGAAGCAGGGTCAGAGAGAGATGCTATGTTGCTGGCTTTGAAGATGGGGGAAGGGGCCATGAGTGGAGGAATATGAGTAGCCTCAAAACTCTGAAAAGGACAAAAAAGTACATTCTCTCCTGGAGCCTCCAGCAAGGAACTCAGTCTGCAGTTGCACCTGCCTGCACCTCAGTTTTAGTCCAGTGAGATCCGTGTTGGACTTTTAATCTACACAACTGTAAGATAATAAAGGTGTGTTATTTTAGCCCACTAAATTTGTGGTAATTTATTACAGCAGCAACAGGAAACTATTATAGATGGTGTGGAGAAAGATCAAGTGTTCACTTTTGGATGTGTTCAGAGAACCTGAACGTGTTAGACATCTATGTGGAGCTATCAAATAGGCAGCTGCATAGGAGTCCGGAATTCAGGGGAGAGGTATGGGCTGGTGGTACAAATTTTGGAGCTGTCAGTGAAGACAGAAAAGCCAAAAGAATGGATGAGATTCACAAAGGAGTGAGTGTAGATAGAAAAGAGGTCTAAGGACTGAGCCCTGGAACACCCCACTGGGACAGCTGACAGATAGCTGGTGGCTTAAAGGTAGCGAGCACTCTGGGGCGCCTGGGGGGCTCAGCCAGTTAAGCATCCGACCCTTGGTTTCAGCTCAGGTTGTGATCTCGGGGTTGTGAGATGGAACGCTGCGTCAGGCTCCTTGCTCAGTGCAGAGTCTGCTTAAGACTCTCTCTCCCTCGCTCTCTGCCCCTCTCCCCCCTCAAATATATAAATAAATCTTTAAAAAAAAAAAAGCTAGCGAGCACTCCAAAACAGAGGCAGACACCAATAATGCAGAGGCAGATACTTAAGCTAGGCTTATAAGAACAGGCAGGTACTGGAGACAGGAGTGAGTAACAGATCTCAAATACAAAGAACAGTTTTGGCAAGAGGAATCAGGCATATGCCTGGCAATAGAGGTTGAGAAAAATTTAAGGATAGAGTCTGGGTAATATATTCTAGATGTCAGCAAAGATGGGACCTTGGCTCTGAGCTAGCTTTCTGCCTTGGGCTTCTATTGCATCCTTAACTTGATTCCTGCCCCTTGTGGGTGTCTGTGTATCTTTCCAACTTACCATTTGCCCTTCTTTCCCATTTCTCTTCCTTTTTCCTTAATTGCACATAATACAGAAATAATATATTCAATTGATTCTGACCTTTCCCCCCATATTTTAACACCTCCAAAATTAGGATGAATCTTAAAATTGATGGTGTGTCATAGTTCAATGGGCAGCATTTTTTTCTTTCTTGGTATGTAAAATAATGGTGTTTTTTTTTAAAGATTTTTTTTTTAAGATTTTTTATTTATTTATTTGAGAGAGAGAATGAGATAGAGAGAGAGAGAGCATGAGAGGGGGGAGGGTCCGAGGGAAAAGCAGACTCACCGCTGAGCAGGGAGCCCGATGTGGGACTCGATCCCGGGACTCCAGGATCATGACCTGAGCCGAAGGCAGTTCCTTAACCAACTGAGCCACCCAGGCGCCCTTTAAAGATTTTTTTTTAAGGTTTTATTTATTTGTCAGGGAGAGGGAGAGAGAGAGCACACACAAGCAGGGGGAGTGGCAGGCAGAGGGAGAAGCAGGCTCCCCACTGAGCAGGGAGCCTGATGAGGGACTCCATCCCAGGACCCTGGGATCATGACCTGAGCTGAAGGCAGATGTTTAACCAACTGAGCGACCCAGGAGTCCCTGGTGGTCTTAGATTCGAATGGTACCTTTGACTCCATGAAATACAAATGCTCTATCATTTAGGGAAATACTTTTCAAATTTTGCATTTTTTTAAACTTGAGGGGTGAACTTGAGTCACCAACTTTAAGTGTACAATTCAACGAGTTTACACAAATGTGTGCTGTCATGCAACCACCACCACAACCATGATAAAGAGCATTTTTATCATTCTAAAATGTTTCCTGGAGTCTCTCTGTAGTCAATCCCTTCTCCCTACCCCTGTCCCCTGGCAATCATTGATCTGCCTTCTAGCACTAGTTTTACCTTTTCTAGAATTTCATATAAATGAGATTGTATAGCATGTACTCTCTGTGTCTGGATTTTTTCACTCAGCATAATCATTCTGAAATTCATTCATGTTGATAGATGTATCAGTTCATTTTTATAGCTGAGTATTATTTCATTCTATGGATGTATCACATTTTGTTTATCCATTCGCCAGTTGAGACATTTGAATTGTTTCCAGTTTGGGGCTATTATAAAAAATGATTAGGGGCGCCTGGGTGGCTCAGTTGGTTAAGCGACTGCCTTTGGCTCAGGTCATGATCCTGGAGTCCCGGAATCGAGTCCCACATCGGGCTCCCTGCTCAGCGGGGAGTCTGCTTCTCCCTCTGACCCTCCCCCCTCTCATGCTCTCTCTCATTCTCTTATAAATAAAATCTTTAAAAAAATGAATAATTAGCCTTTTTCAAAGCAGGAAAAAGGGTAAACCCATCTTAAAGCAAGTTGGGTTATATTTTATTTTCTTCTCCCTGTGAGGTGTGAGTACCATGATAGCATCCTTTTACTTAAAAAAGGATAGGGAAAACAAATCTCATACATTTTGGTCATATTACTCCTTTAAATATCAGTGAATGGTAAGTGTTAAATAATTAAGTATCTGTGAATCCTAATCAATGTAAGGAAAAGAAATTCCAAATTTTCTGAAAGTACATTTAGAGTCGATAATAGAAAATACAAATCTAAAAAGAAAGAAAAAAAACACAAGTCTTTCCCCCAGCGAGGTAAACTTTGGATAACATCGGGTTACCTGAGGAAAACGAAGCCTGCAGAACCCAGCTTGCTTTCTTTCTTACTTTTTTTTTTTTGCAAAACCTATCTTTTGATCTGAAAATCACTAAATTTTTTTTTTTCATTTTACTTATTTATTTTTCAGATAGAGAGAAAGCAAGTGAGTACAAGCAGGGGGAGCAGCAGGCTTCCCGCCGAGCAAGGAGCCCGATGGGGGACTAGGATCATGACCAGAGCTGAAGGCAGACACTTAACTGAGCCACGCAAGCGTCCCAAACACTAAACTTTGAAGAGTAAAGATTCTATTTACTACAAATAGAGACACTGAACTAAGGCTCCAGAAAGCCCGGCCAGAAGCGGCTAACTACTTTGTATGCCGGGATTTGTAGTCCGCGAAAGAGTCGTTCTAGCCAAGATGGCGGAGTTGTTAATGACGCGAGAAGAGCGGCCCCGAGGGAGTATGGGCCGCGAGGGGATTGGGCGGTGCGGGGATTCGATAGGCGGGAAGTTAAGACCAGGTGCTACAACCTTTCCATCAAAGGAAGCCTGGCGCCCTGAAGTCTCGCGAGATCCTGGAGGGGCCCAATGGAACGTGGGGCCTGGCTTATCACTAGGGGCGTTTGTTGGGGGCGGAGCTCGACGGGAGTGGGCCGGGCGTCGTAGGTGCCCGGCGTAGCGGCGTTTAGGCCCGGCAGCCGCTGTGAGGAGCGAAGCCGTGGCCATGAAGGAGGAGAAGGAGCATAGGCCTAAGGAGAAGCGAGTAACCCTGTTGACTCCCCCGGGGGCCACAGGCAGCGGCGGTGGGGCTTCGGGGGACAGCACCAAAGGGGAAGATAAGCAGGATCGAAATAAGGAGAAGAAAGAGGCGCTGAGCAAGGTGCCTGGCCGGCTGTTGGCCCGGGAGAGGGCGGGACGGGTCCGCCACCCGCGAAGATGGTTGGGAACGGGGCTGCCCTCTTCCTCCCCCAGTCTGCGCTTCTGTTTCTTCACCTGAGTGAAAATCGCGTCACCTTCTCTTCATCCATTCGTCCGAGATGGGGGGGGGGCGGAGAGCCCCTTTCGGCCAAGCCCCGGGGTGCGAGTGAGGGAAAAGGAGGGGATTCCCAGACGAGAAGGTTTAGGTCAGAGCTGTGAGATGATAGTGGGAGGGGGAGCGATAGTAAAGAGAATGAGGAATTAAAAGGTTAATTGGGGGGAATTACTAAATAGTGAAGCGGTCAGCAGGGGTGGGAGTAGTTTGTGATAAAGAGTATTAATGGAGGCGAGTTGAGCAAGAGTGGGGGGATTAATGGTCGGGGGGCCAGGTCAGTTTCATCCTGTTTGGGGAGCAACGAGGGAACTTTGAGTATTCCGTGGAGTTTTGACTTCTTTACGCCGAATGAGGAAGGATTTTGTTTTAGGATGTGTCGGATGTGGTAGGGCGATAATAAGTCAAATGTTCGTGGCACCTACAAAGATCAGGGTTAGCCTACTAATTTCTTGCTAATATATCTATTGAAAAATGGGTGCTAGAAAATGATGGCGAAAACCAAGTGAACTGCGGGGCTTCCGTTTAACAGAACCTGAGATTTTTCCTTGCTCCGTGCAGTTCTAATTTCTAAGAGTTTATTAAAAAAATTAATATTTTGTTTGACTAATTCTGACCATTAGAATAATCTTCTCCTGGGTTTTTATAAGTGAGCTCATCTTTTAAAGACCATCTATTTTCAGAGACCGTGATTCTTTCGGGTATGACAGAAAATTGATTTGTTCTAATTTTATTTTCCTTATTCATTTCTTAAGGTGGTAATTCGGAGATTACCTCCCACTTTGACCAAGGAGCAGCTTCAGGAACATCTTCAGCCTATGCCGGAGCATGATTATTTTGAGTTTTTTTCTAATGATACTAGGTAAAATGAATAAATAAAAGAGGGCGGGGGTAAATGAAAAATTTTCTTCCATTCTTTTTTATCCTACTGTTTTCCATTTGATTTTTGAACCTGTCTCTTTAATATATGCATACTTGTAATTCAGCCAGACACCTGCAAGCACATTTACATAATTGCTTTCCTCTCTGCAGTCTGTATCCTCATATGTATGCCAGAGCATACATCAACTTTAAAAACCAAGAGGACATTATTTTGTTCAGGGATCGCTTTGATGGTTATGTATTCCTTGACAATAAAGGTGAGTCCTTATAACTGAAGGGGAGTTTCTTTGTCATTTGTATGTTTAAGACAATGTGTGTATCGCTATTTTCTCAATGCCTTCGTAGCTTTTCTAAAATTCTGGGTGATAAAGTTTTACACATTTGCTGAGCTTACTGTAGTCTTAGATGTGTGACTTTTCACAGCCCTTGGGTATTTTTATTAACCTGTTACTTCTGTAGTTTGATCAGCTGAATGAAATTGCCACTGTTTTCTCTTCCTGTGGCAAATTTTTTTGCCCTGGATTAGATGATCTGTTGTTTTGACTATTTACTAGCTGGAGCAGTAATACTGATAAATGACTCTTTGAACTTGTATGACACATTTTAAATATTTACTTGTCATCTTGCTTCAAGGACCAACATTGATTTATTTTAATGTAAATCCTTTAAGCCAGTAATTCCCAGTTGGAATACTGTTCAACTTTCTAATTTGTATTTGTACTGAAAACATCGAACTTGATGATCTCCCACTTTGTATCCGGGAGTCTATAGAGAAGAAAAACTTCAGCCTTAACTCTCTTTTTATTTATTATCTGCCCCTTGCAACATTTAGCCAGAGAATGTCCAAGCTGCCATTTACCACTTTTCTTTTGGCTTTGTGATCATAGGTAAATGACGTGTCTTTTTGTTGGGCTGTTTCTCAGTGTCAAATTAGGTAAAAATGAAATCTTTGTCAGGGAATATGCCAGTAACAGTTGAAGAATTGCCACCAGGTTTGACCAGCTTTTATTAATCTCCACCCCCCTTCCCCCACCAAAAGCAGTTACTTCTCTACTCCAACTTTATTCCAGTAGATAGCAGTGTGATCCTGGAAATCTGAGTTGTGTTTTAACTTTTTCTGATCTTTCTTATCCCTTATATTTAAACACGTGATGAATCTTGTCAATTTATTGTTTTTAAATATCTCGCTCATCTATTTATACTCTCACACTGTGTCCTTCCCTCCTAATGCTTAGACAACCATTGTCTCTAAACTTACAGAATTTTCCTTTTTTTTCATTTTTGTCTAACTCAGTCTGTTATATTGCCATGAAATTAATGTTTTTGAAAATAGTGATTTAAGATAGCAGTTGCAGGGGAAAAAAGTCCAAATTCCTTAGCCTGGTAGTCAGAGTCCTTCAGAGCCTCGCCTCGCTGCTGGTTTTTTGTTTGTTTGTTTTTGTTTTTTTCAGCCTCTCTTCCACAGTTCCTTCTGCTTCAGTCTGGTTTATCTGTTCCTTCTCAAATAGATCAGTTAATAAGCTAATCTGATTCTGCATTCACTGGGATTTCCAAAATCATGTTTTCTCCCTGACCGCTTTGTGATGCCTTCTGGTCACTTCTGCTTATTCTATTCTGGCTTACGTCTACATGCCAATGATAGTATTTTATACCCTTTATGACATTATTCTATAGCAGGGATCTGGTGTATTTTCTTTTTCCCACAGTCACTTGGTCTTTTGTATTGAGATATGACTTACATACCGTAAAATTCAGTGGTTTTTAGTATATTCACAAAGTTGTACAACCATCACCACTATGTGATTCCAGAATGTTTTCATTATTCCAAAAAGAATCCTGTAACCGTTAGCAACCATTTCCCCTTCTCCCTCTTCTGGACGAGTCATATAATATGTAGCCTTTGTGACTGCCTCTTTTACTTAGCATGTTTTCAAGATTCATCTGTGTTATTGCATATATTACCTGATTTCTTTTTTTTGTTTACATTTTTAAATGTGGTAAAATACACATAAATAAAATTTACCATCTTAACCATTTTAAGTGTATAGTTCAGTAGTGTTGAGTACATTCACACTGTTGTGCAACCAATCTCTAGAACTTGTTTATCTTGCAAGACTGAAACTCTATACCCATTAAATTAAATTTACCCAGTAAATCCCCATATCCCCATTTCTCCCTCCTCCCAGCCCCTGGCAACTACCATTCTGTCTCTGTGAACCATCATTCTGTATAAAGTTGACCATTCTAGGTACCTCATATGAGTGGAATCATATACTTTTTGACTTTTTGAGATTGGCTTATTTATTTAGCATAACGTCCTCAAGGTTGATCCATGTTGTAGGGTGTGTCAGAAATTCCTTTTTAAGCCAGAGTAATACTCCATTGTGTGTATATACACACACTGCATTTTGTTTATCCATTTATCTGTTGAGGGACATCTGAATTGCTTCCACCTTTTGGCTATTGTAAATAATGCTCCTATGAATGTGGGTGTACAAATATCTGTTCAAGTCTCTGCTTTCACTTCTTTTGAATATATACCCAAAGGTGGAATTGCTGGGGCATATGGTAATTCTATTTTTAATTTCTTGAGGAACCGCCATATTGCTTTCTTGAATATATACCCAAAGGTGGAATTGCTGGGTCATATGGTAATTCTATTTTTAATTTCTTGAGGAACCACCATATTGTTTTCCAAGCAGCTGCACCATTTTACATTCCTACCAGTAATGCACGAGGGTTCTGATTTCTCCATGTCCTTGCCAACACTTGTTATTCTCTGTTTTTTTTCCTTTAATAGCTACCATTCTAATGGGTGTGAGGTGATACCTCATTGTGGTTTTGATTTGCATTTCCCTAATGATTAGTGAGGTAATATTTTAATCTTTTCATATGCGTGTTGGCCATTTGTATATCATCTTTGTAGAAATGTCTATTCAAGTCCTTTGAACATTTTTTAATTGGGTTTTTTTGTTACTGAGTTGTAGGAGTTCTTTATATATTCTGTATATTGACCCTTAATCAGATAAATGATTTGCAAATATTTTCTTCCATTCTGTAGGTTGCCTTTTTACTCAGTTTTGTCCTTAGATGCACAGAAGTTCTTAATTTTGATGTAGTTCAATTTATCTATTTTTCACTTTTATTGCCTGTGCTTTTGGTGTCTCCTGGTGTAAAAAGAGCTTTATTGAGATATAATTCCGATGCCATAAAATTCACCCTTTTAAAGTGGTTTTTAGTATATTCATAGAGTTGTACAGCTATCACCACAATCTAATTTTAGAATACATTTAGCACTCCAAAGAAACCCCATATTCATTAGCTGTCGTTCCCCACTCTCCCCCAACTATGCCCCAGCTCTAGGCAATTACTGATCTTCTTTGTATCTCTATAGATTTGCCTAGTCTAGAGATTTATGATGTATTTTTAAATGAAAATTGATTTGTAGATTGTTTTTTCCCCACAAATTAAATTTCACACTTTACAAGTTGAATTTAAATGAATATTTTACTTCCCTGCCATATCTTTTTCATTATGTGAATTTGGGGCTCCTTTGGTAACACATCGATTTTAGTTGTGCCCATGTGATTTGTGCTCATGTGATTTATGCCCATTGAGAGGCCCTATTCTGATGACTCCCATCAAAGGCCTAGAGAGCGGTGGGTTGACTCTCTTGTATCCACTTTTTGACTTTTTTATGTTATAGCAAGTGTGGTATTTTTTCTAAACAGGTCAGGAATATCCTGCTATAGTAGAATTTGCACCTTTTCAAAAAGCTGCAAAAAAGAAGACTAAGAAAAGAGATACCAAAGTTGGGACTATCGATGATGGTACAGTATAGCTCTAGTTATGTAATGCTATTGCCATTAAAAAATACTATCTTTGTGGGATTTAATTGGATTCCAATCTTCTAATAGGAAAACATACAGAATAAGGTTCACGAGAAATGTAATTCACTGATGAAAGCTTTGTTTAATTGTTAGAATGGAAGTGGGTTTCCTGTTGAAGTCCCACTCTTCCAACTACTGCCATTTCATTCCTCCAGCATCAAGCAATGTATTATTGACTGTTGAGCAGTAAATTACCTTTGGCTTGTTGATTAGAAGACAATGGGGAAAAATGAGATGTATCAAAGTACAAGAACTCCTTAAGGTCTCATACTATTTTATGATGATTTTTTTGGTTTCCATTTTTAAAAGAGGGGCGGTTTATCACTGAGAGCTGGGATGGAAAAATTTCTATACTCAAGTAACTCAAGTAACAATATAAAGTAGCTGAAGTGGCCTATTTTTTTTTAGGCTTTGAATATGCGGCTAACTGCACCATAGTAATTACATTGAACTGGAATAGAGGAACTGAAAAACTAGAATAATTGCCATGTAGGGTAAACTGGATCCAGATTTTGAGCTCTGTAATGTTATGTTGGATAAGACTTATCTGTAATATTTTATATCTCATTGACACTTTGGAATCATCTAGTTTGATTTCCATTATTTATTATAGTGGGTCTTTTATAAAGAAAACATGGAAAAGATTCACCACACAGGTACTTACTGATTGTATCAAAATTCAGATATGGGAGACTAGATCAGTGACATGCTCCACAGTATGCAGAAACTCCACAAGTACAAGCAATGGAATGACTCAGATGTGTTACCCTTTCTGATGTCGGATGCATCTAAAAAACAACTCCAGGAATTACCATAAGCTCCAGTGCAACATCTAGGACCTCAATTTATCTTTCTGGAACACCTGATTTTCAGACGTTGGGTTTACTTAAAGTGAGGTATACCCATACAGGAATTGCTTACATGCTATCTATAATACTGTGAAGGTCCCATAACTATAACTTTCAATTCTCACATAAGTGTGACTTTGGGTTAGTTAGAGCAGTGACTTTTAAAGCAAACTACTGAACATTCCTGTGGTGTCTGATTATCCCTGACTCCATATTATACCAGACTCCCTTAGTGCATATAGGGAATAGGAGTTCTGAGAGTAAGGGACCGATAAAGCCCTAAATAGTCTAGTGGGTATGTTTAGGTTTATTTTTAATCTTCCATGATGTGGAAAGTTTTTTTAAAGTCTATATTTTCTGTTTACTTAAACAATGATTTAGATCCAGAATATAGAAAATTTTTGGAAAGTTATGCTGCAGATAATGAGAAAATGACATCTACTCCAGAGACACTGCTAGAGGAAATAGAAGCAAAAAATAGAGAATTAATAGGTAAGTGGGCAACAGGAATTAAGGACAATGGCTTTTTCCTCAGAAGACTTGTCTGACTCCCACTTCTGGCACTTGCTAGCTGTGTGACCATGGGGAAGGCATTTACTTCTCTGAGACTGTTTCTTGTGCTGTAAAATGCATATAGTACCTTCCTCACAGGGTTATGTAAATGCATTGATAAGATGGGAAGAATTCTCTGTGACCTGTTTTAAAGCCACATAAATATAAGTAGAAAAAGTTTAAAGACTCATGGGACCTTTAGATGTTGGTAAGCCTTTGAAGATCAACTGGTATTTTCTAGTAACAAGCAGCTCACGTTGCTGAAAAAAATTTGAAAATACCAAAAGGTGAAATCAGTTACTGCAAAATTGAAAACTTTTTGAGAAAGTCTAGTTTGGATGTTCTAGTAGTAAATTGTCACTCTTCTAGTAATAAATGGTCACTCCTCTATCAGCTCTAAACATAAGCAAAGCCCCTGACCCAAGATTTCCACTCCTAGGAATTTGTCCAGAGGAAGTATGCTTTCAAAAAGCTAACTATAAGGCGGGGTGCCTGGGTCGCTCAGTCAGTTAAGCATCCCGACTCTTGATTTAGGCTCAGGTCATGATCTTCAGGGTCATGAGATCAAGCCCTGCGCCGGGCTCCACACTGAGCATGGAGCCTGCGTAAGATTCTCTCCCCTCCCTCTACCCCTCCCCATTCTCTCTCTCTCTCAAAACAAAAAAACACCCCAAAACATTAAAAAAAAAACTACAAGACTAGATAGCATTATTCAGGATATTGAAAATTACATATTCTAAAACTTTTTTTTAAAATATTCATTTATTTGAGAGAGAGTGCGAAAGAGCACGAGCGGTGGGGGGGGCGGAGGGAGAGGGAGGGAGAAGCAGACTTCTCAATGAACAGGGAGCCCATGGGGTCCAATCTGAGGACCCCGAGATCATGACCTGAGCCAAAGGCAGACGCTTAACCAACTGAGCCACCCAGGTGCCCCTAAAATGGTTTTTATTAATAGATGCAGAGTATAAGCCCATCTCTGATGATTCCTTAGAATAAATTCCCAGAAGTGGAATTGTAGGGTCAGAAAGATTAGATGTTTTTAGCTCCTTCCTCCAATTTCTTCCCAGTTGAACAAATTTATATTCCCATCTGTAAAACAAGAGAATGTCCTTTGCACTCAATTCTCACCAACACTGGGAATTACTGTTTTAAGAAATTGTTTTAATTTGAATTTCTTCACTTTTTAAAAAGTATTTTAAACCTTCAGAATTGAAGTAGAATATCGTGAAACTTCTTTCTGATAACGTACTTGTGAACTGTTTTAAGGGGTATACTTTTCCCACCTTGGGTGGTTGGCAGGGAATGTCAGAAAATGGAATCCTTTCTAGGGGTTGATAAGTATTATTAATAATCTGTTTACATTTATGTAGCTAAAAAGACAACCCCACTTTTGAGCTTCCTGAAAAACAAGCAGGTAAACCTTTTGTTTTTATAGTTCTCTCAGTACTTTTATTTCATTGGTTCATAGTCTGTAAACATACGAGCATTGGGATCCTAGAGGAGAAATAGCTGCTTCTTCCACCATTATTCTTTAAAGATTTAGCTCATTGGCCTCACTCCCTGGCCCTCTCCTTCAGTCTGGTTGTTGGACCAGGGATTCACTCTGCAAACCCAGAGAGTCTTTAGCTTGTTCCAGAGACACTCCCTTGATTTTCTGAAAGCCTCTGGAAATATAGCAAGGCAACAGTGGGAGATTCTGATACTAGCAGGCTCTGGTCTTTATTCTCATATTCATAATGGGATGGGGAGGGGGTTAAAGAGATAGGATGCCACTTTGTAGAAAGGAGGAAGGAAGGATGATCCAATTTAGTGGGTTCCCACTATACCTTTGGGATTAAGTTTTTGGTGATGATTATCTTGTTTGAAGGCTTATGTTGATGTTTCTTTCCAGAGAATGAGAGAAGAAAAAAGAGAAGAAAGAAGGAGACGAGAAATAGAAAGGAAAAGACAAAGGGAAGAAGAGAGGAGGAAATGGAAAGAAGAAGAAAAACGAAAAAGGAAAGATATAGAAAAGCTAAAGAAGATAGACCGAGTTCCAGAAAGGGACAAATTAAAGGATGAACCAAAGATTAAGGTATGAGAATCACTTAAATAGACTGCATGTTGCTAAAAATTGCATGTATCTACTTCTTTAAATATGCATGCATCTTGTGTTGGTGTAAATACAATTTTTTGGTTTTGTTGTCTTTTTTGGGGGGGGAGGTGAACCAATAGGAATCTTTACTATAATGCTAATAGTATTATTTTTTTAAAATTCTTGATAATTTAAACAGATTACATAACTTACATGATATTTCTTCAGTGAATATCTGCATTATTTTTATCATTGAGAATGTTCAATGTTTGGATTATTATTCTCTCAGTTCTTCATAAGTAAGGGCTTAGGGCTGGCTGGCATGAATTATGGGTTTTATGCAGCTTTTCCTTCATATTTGATACATGAAGTTGCCTCATCTGTTTGTTTTCCACTGTCTTCAGGTACACAGGTTTCTGTTACAAGCTGTGAATCAGAAAAATGTAAGGACCAAGTACATGATACAGAGCACCTAGTATCATGTCACACACACAGGTCTTAGTTAATAATAAGTCCTTTTGGTGGTGGTGGTAGTGATACCTGTAGAAAACTCCTTCAGACTGACTTGAGTCTTATTAAAATCTGAGCCATTTTAAATTCCTACTTTAGAAGGAAGCCCAGATGACTTCCTGATGCTCTGCTGGGTACCCAGAAGCTTCAACAATATACAGCTAGAAGATAACCGTGCCTAAATAGCTCTTTCTCTTCCTGTGCCTCTCCTAACGGGCTGCCTTGTGGGAGTATTAGGGATAAATATCCTGTATCCCATGCTTCCCCTCTCACATGATTCTCCCTGTTACCTTCTCTCATCTACCTGGGAATCTGTGAGTGGCAGATTCTGATTAACACACTGCATGTAGGAAGAGGAAAACTTGTAGGAAAATCCCAGCCTTACTGCTTCCCTTCTGAGGGCATGGCTTAGGCAGCTTCTGCTCCCACAAACTTCCTGGGGAAGTACTAGTACCTAGTACTTCAGAGAAAGTCAGAAAAAAATCTCACAGAAATGGTGGCAGGGTCTCCTTTTACCTCCTCAAAATTAAGGCACTTTACGTGTCCAGGGTCTGTTCCCCCAAGGCTCTCCCGGGCTCATTATTGGCGATAAGGAGCTTGGTAGTGGGGTGGAAAGGTTCCCATCTTAATTCCTTCTAGTGATCTCTCTCTCTGCCATGCCACAAGTGACCTGACTGGCTATTCCTATCAGCAAGGCAGAAGGTAGAGCCGGCCATACTAGAAACATTCATTTATGTTCTTAATAGAGTAATGAACATCCTGGCTTCTAACAAAGATGTTCATTAGAAAAATAAGAACACTTCCAGTGAAACCTGCCTCACTTTACATTGGTGCCTCCTCAGTGTCCAGTTTGGACTCGCCATTTGCAGTGGCTATGTGCTGAAATACTTCATGCTTAAGTCTTGTGGTGCTTTGCCTTTTGCTTGGTGACTTGTGTGATGCCTTCACCCTGAGATGAAACTTTGTATGATGCCTTCACTCTGAGACTTGAAATTCTTCTATTTTGCCTAAGAATCTCTCTGAATATCCAGCGCTTGGGGGTATTCTAGAGAGGTTTGTGGCAGTGGTGACAAACTATTTTGATAGCAATTTGGACTTTATAAAGCACGTTTATTTTAGAAGTCCATTCTGTCATATATGTATCTCATATATATATGTATATATATGTATGTGTGTATACATATATATATGTGTGTATATACATAGTGACATTGAGCAGAGTTCCTACTCAGTAGAGATGGAACTTCACTGTTCTGTGAGGTATTTGGATTTTTAAATCAAATAATGAAAACTGTGATTGTACCATCATAAGTGTGTTATTCTCAGGCTCAAGGCAAAGTTATTCTTGCAATGGATCTCTCCTTTGGTGACAAAGGTATTTGTCATTCCAAGTACTACAAGAAAACGGTCCAACAGTAATCTGCCTAGAATTTTAAATTGTGGCCGATTTTCTCATCAAGTTATATCGATACGCTAGTTGGCTACAGAAGGCGTACTTGGAAGTGGGCACTGGTTCACGGAAAGGTTGACCCATCTAAGGCCAAAGGAGTCTTGATCCTATTGCCACAAGTGACTAAACCACTTTGAGTGGATAACACTTTCACATTAATAGCATCCTTTTAGTCAATCACTGCTCTTGTGCACTGGTTATTCACCTGTAAGTTGAAGAGTACCTGCAGAAAGAGGCCTTCTATAGCCTAGATTTAAAATATTTAGTATATTGTTTTCTTTATAGAATCAGAAGAGAATGTCCCACCCTTCAAAATAATAAATTTGTTCTCTTTAAAGCTACTCAAGAAGCCAGAAAAGGGAGATGAAAAAGAATTAGATAAAAGAGAAAAAGCCAAGAAACTGGACAAAGAGAATCTGAATGATGAAAGAGCCAGTGGGCAGAGTTGTACACTGCCCAAGCGCTCTGATGGCGAACCTAAAGATGAAAAGCCTAAGAGGTCGGTAGCTGAGGGCTCTTTGGTACAGTTGTTTTCAACATGCTTCTACGTGCTAGTTTTCCTGCCCTGTCCTGGACGCTTGCCTGAATTATGAGGGGTGGGGGGATGAGGAGGAAAGGTTTCAAATACTCTAGCATCTTAATCTGGGTGAATGACTTCTGGGGTGCACTTTTTGGTTTGTTTTGTTTTGTTTTGTTTTTTTTACTGGTTTTCAAAACGCTAGTAGTTTTTGACTCGGCTCCAACAGCGCCGCCTCACTGTAGCGGCCAGGTGCTAATCAGAGCACTCGCGCGTGTGCGACTAGATGGGCTCTGAGGGCCCGCTCAGCTCTGTTTCCCACGCAGGCCCGAAGAGGAGAGTGCCAGAGACCACAGGGAGCGGGAGCGGGAGCGGGACTACGAGCGAGAGCGAGACCGAGACCCGGAGCGCGTCCTGCGGGAGAGGGAGAGGCTGAAGCGGCAGGAAGAGGAGCGCCGTAGGCAGAAGGAGCGCTACGAGAAGGAGAAAGCTTTTAAAAGGAAGGAGGAAGAGCTGAAGAAAGAGAAAGAAGCGGTCCGGGATAAAGGAAAGAAGACGGAAAGTACAGAAGCAGTAGGCGGCTCCGAAAAAACTGAAAAGAAAGAGGAAGTGGTTAAGAGAGATCGCATAAGAAACAAGGTGCTGCTTTTCGTTCTATCTGTTTTCGTGAGGACTTTTTTTTTTTTCCCTGCAAGTGTAAAGGAAAGGGCTAGCTCCCCATTTATGACAGACGTTGTAAAGGGCAAGTTGAACTGTCTGCAACTTTTTTTCAGTCTCGGTTGGGTCCTTTCATTAACATTGTGGAAATTTCAAACGGACACAAAAGTAGAACAGAGTTTTTTTAAAGATTGATTGATTGATTCGAGAGAGAGAGTGAGCACGAGCAGGAGGGGCAGAGGGAGAGGGAGAGAGAATCTCAAGTAGACACCGCACTGAGTGCAGAGCCCGATGCAGGGCTTGATCTCACAACCCGGAGATCAGGACCTGGGCTGAAATCAAGAGTCAGACGCTTAACTGACTGCGCCACCCAGGCACCGCTGGATTATTTTTAAGCAAATCCTAGACATACCATCTCTTTAAATACATCAATATTAGAGGCAGATTCTTTTTCTTTCTTTCTTTTTTTTTTTAAGATTTTACTTATTCATTTGAGAGAGAGAGAGAGCACAAGCAGGGGGAGAGGCAGAGGGAGAGGGAGAAGCACGCTCCCCGCAGAGCAGGGAGCCCGATGTGGGGCTCGATCCCAGGACCCTGAGACCATGACCTGAGCCGAAGGCAGACGCTTAACCATCTGAGCCACCCAGGCGCCCCAGATTCTTTTTCTTAATACAACCCCAATAGCATTTTCATACCCCCACCAAAAAACCCTAATAGTAATTCCTTAATGCCCTACCTACTGTGTTGTTTTTCCCAGTTGTCTCATTAATAACTTCTTTATAGGCTCTAAACATGGTCTTGTATCCGGAAGTGTCTTTTAATCTAAACAGTCCTCCCTCCTTTCGTTATCCTGCCATTTATTTGCTACAGAAACCTGCAGTTTGTCCTGAGGAGCTATCAGCTCTAAATTGGTTGGGCTAATTATATCCCTGTGGTACCATTTAACATGTTTCTCTATCTTCTCTGTTTCTTTGAAAACTAGTAGTTATACCTAGGGCAGGGGTCAGCAGATTTTTTCTGTATAGGGCCAGATGGTAAGTATTTTAGGCCTTGTGGGCCATATGGTCTCTGTTAGAACCACTAAGCTCTGTAGGAAAGCAGGCATAAATATGTAAAAGAATGAGTATGGCTGTGGGCCAATCAGACTTTATTCATAAAAACAGGTGGCTCACCTACAGGCCTGAATATATTCAGGCTCAATTTTTGGCAAAAATACTTCATAGATTGGGGCACCTGGGTGGCTCAGTCAGTTGAGCGTCTGACTCTGGATTTCAGCTTGGGTCATGATCTCAGGGTCGTGGGTTTAGGCCCCACCATCAGGCTCTGCGCTTAGTGGAGTCTGCTTCTCTCCCTGACCCTCCCCCCTCTGCCCCTCCCCATGCACTGTCTCTCTCTCAAATAAATAAATCTTAAAAAACAAAAAAAGAATACTTCATAGATAGAGGGGCGCCTGACTGGCTTAGTCAGTAGAGCATGCGACTCTTAATCTCAGGGTTGTGAGTTCAAGCCCCACGTTGGGTGTGGAGATTACTTAAAAATAAAATCTTAAAAAGAGAATACTTCGAAGATTGTGTTGTGTACTTCCTATTGCATCATATCAGGAGGCATGGGACATATGGGTGTCTTTCTAGTGTAATGTTCTGATCAATCAATAGCAATTGTATTGTGGTTATGGAACAGGATGTCCTTGTTTTTCGGATATACAAGCTGAAATATTTAGGGATGAAGGGTCATGATGTCTGCAACTTACATTTCTATAGATTTCAAATTTCTCAAGGTGATTAAGTTGAAAAAACCATTGATGAGTAGGTTCAGGTATTGTAAGCCTGATCCATCTACTATAAAACATTTTTAGCCTGAAATTCAGTTTATATAGGAAAGGCAGGATAAACACTTTCCCTTTATGTACCAGCATTCAGAGTAATGAGTTGGTATCCCAGCCACTTCTAGGTAATCAGTGTTTTGTTTTGTCTGTAATAATTTGTGGATTTAGAAATATTTGGTGTATTCCAACTTGTTATTATCAGTTATTGTCCTTGTTGAGGTTTACATTGCCCCATCTTTGCACAGTGGGAGCCCCATCATCCATTTCTTTAAATACTATGCAGGAATCTTACCTGTTTCAACATTTTATCTTATAAAAATAGTGAAACATTTTGCTGGAATTATTCAGTTGAGAATAATGCTTTAAGGCTAACTTTTTTTTTTTTTAAGATTTTATTTATTTATTTGAGAGAGAGAATGAGAGATAGCACGAGAGGGAAGAGGGTCAGAGGGAGAAGCAGACTCCCTGCTGAGCAGGGAGCCCGATGTGGGACTCGATCCCGGGACTCCAGGATCGTGACCTGAGCCGAAGGCAGTCGCTTAACCAACTGAGCCACCCAGGCGCCCTAAGGCTAACTTTCATACACCAGGGAGAAAGAGTAAGGAAGGCTCATGTAATTTTTTGTTGAATTCTAAAAAGGGCCTATACATCTAAGTTTTCCAGGATCATACTGTCATAAACCATACACGTTACTTGAACTGAGAGGTACGTAATGACTTTAATTGGGGCTTATTTAGGAATCTGAGATCTAAAATGCCACCTAGAGAGTCTCAGGCTGGGGTGTTAAGTTGCCATACATGAATTAAGAAATGATCATGTTTGTGGCAAGTTGCATGGGGTCTGAGCTCATAATTTCAGGGCGGTCTCCACTTAAGACTTTGCATTCTTTATTTACTATTGTTTTTTTAAAGATTTTATTTATTCATTTGACAGAGAGATAGAGAGCACAAGTAGGCAGAGTGGCAGGGAGAGGGAGAAGCAGGCTCTCCGCTGAGTGGAGAGCCGGACGCGGGGCTCGATCCCAGGACCCAGGGATAATGACCTGAGCCAAAGGCAGCCGCTTAACCGACTGAGCCACCCAGGCGCCCCTCTTTATTTACTATTTTACTCCAAAAATTTTCTTACGTGGCAGCGAATGTTAAAGTCAATTTAGTGATGGGGAAGAGAGACAGGCAATGGCTGAGGTTTTGAAGTAAAGGAAATTCAAGCTAATTCAGTTCATCTTGAAATGGTTAAGAAAATTACTGAAAACATACCGTAGGCTTAGAAAATAATACTTACAAAATGGTTGCTTTTATTTGGAGATAGGGGAAAGGAAGTGGGCAGTTAAGAGGCAAGTTAACCATCAGCACTGTCAGGGACTGTGCCCTCACATTTTTGATCTCGTAGGAGTTGTTTTTGGTATGTATCAATACACAGCGTATGACTCTGAAAATCCCCTGTAAATGTTTAGTAGCAATGTTGTAACATTAACATTTAATTTTATTTTAGGATCGCCCAGCAATGCAGCTTTACCAACCAGGAGCTCGAAGCCGAAATCGACTCTGTCCGCCTGATGACAGCACCAAGTCTGGAGATTCAGCAATAGAAAAAAAGCAGGAAAGTGGTATTAGCCATAGAAAAGAAGGAGGAGAGGAGTGATAAGTCCAAAAGGCCTTAGGTGTCCTGACTGTCTAGGCAGCCAAAGAGCATGTATTAAGCAATCCAGAAGTGCCTTCAGGGCAAAGGAGTAGAGAGAGAGAAAGGGGATCGCTGTGCTGGTGGGGTACACTGCAGAGGAGTATGTTTTTTTCTTTGCGTCAAAGCAGGAACCTGATCGCAGGTTCAGGTTGGAAGTTCAATTTCATTTTTTATGCAGTTCCTACAAATTAATTTTAAAGTGTCAGACAAAGATGAGGGAGAGGACATGCATTGCAGTTTGCAGGCAGGAAAGGTCAGGTGAGGACTTAATTAGGTATGACACGAGGAGGGGGAAAAAAAAAGACAGCTGGTTCTAAAAGCAAGGTTTTGTTAAATCCTGGATTGAATTTTCTTAATTTGAGTGGAACAGAGTCACTGTGAAGTCTTGTTCAGATCTAGTTACATTCATTGTTGATGATAACTGTTGACTTTGTGTAGTGTAGATGCAACAAGCATGTAATTGTAGTACAAGGACAGTGGAGGATATAACAAATTTTCGTCTGTACAAAAATTTAAATAGTCATGTCGTGTCTATATCCTGTGTCCTAAAATTTTAGGATTTAGTTTTTTGTTTGCTTACGTGAGCTTAGCATAAAGAGTATTTTTAAACATCTCCTTTTGCCTTTAGCAGTTTTTATATTAATAAGTAAAATTTAACCCTTGTTTGTTTCTTGACAATCCAGTCTTTGTTTTAATCTTAGGTCTCATGATCTGAGTGCATACCCTCTCCAGGAAGGAAACCGTATCAATATTTGTTCCTGTCAAATAGCAACTTTTAGTCCTGGCTTGTTTTGCATTGATGTCAATAAATATCAACATCACTCAAGTATGAAGCCAAGTGTATTTATTAACTTTACTAAATTAGCTATTCATTTTGAGACATTAAACTTTCGATACTGAATTAACCCCTTGGGTATTTTGAAAGGGGAGGAAGGATACTTATTTCTGCCTTCACTAGCATTATTTTATTTTGCCCACCAAGAAGATCAAATCATGGTTCACTACTCTTGTTCCACAAGAACCAAAATGTTTGGACAACATCCTTGAGCTGCTGCTTAATATTCATCCTGACAGCTTCTCCTAATGTGGCATCAGTCTGCCTTTACTTAATAAGCCACTGCTTTAGTTTTACTCAGCTTTTAGAAACCAGTATCCCAAGAGGCAGGTAAAGAGGACTGAAGATGACTAAAAGAATGGTCCTCAACTGGGAGAGAGGACTAAAATACAGGAAGGGAAAATTTCAAAGAGAATGGCTGGCAGTGGTCTGTGCCACAGAGCGGTCAGGGAAGCTGAGATGCGCTCACTGGGCTTGGCAGCATTGAGGTCAGTAGTGAATTGCTGAGGCAGAAACCATGTTACGGTGAGGGGCGAGTGGCAGGTAGGAAATGCAGATGGGGCAGCTGGATAATTGGACCTTGGAGCTCAGAGAAGAGATCCGGGCTGGAGATAGAGATTTGGAATTCATCTACTTCTAGGTGATCATTGAAGCCATGGGTCTAGATTTAGTCACTTAGGGAAAGAGAGTGAAGAAAGAACAAGCAGACCTAGGGCCCAGCCTTGAAGAACCCTAAGGTTACAGGTGAGGAAAGTATCTACAAAGACAGAAAAGGAGGAGCCAGAGAGTTAGGTGGAAAACCAGAAGACTCCGACATTCCCTAACCCAGGAGAAAAGACTGAAGAAGGCGAAGGAAGTGGCCATTAGGGTTGGACGCTGCTGGAAGGTCAAGTGTGATGCTCAAAAAAAGGCCACGGGTTTCAGTGACTTACAAATCTTTGATGACCTGGAATCATAGGGAGTGGAAGCCAGACGAGGTTGAGAATGGAAACAGCACAGAGAGAAGTTTGGCAGTGAGAAAATGAAGACAGGTGAATGGTGGTGATATGAAGGATTGTTTTAAATAGGAGAACTACTAAAGCCTGCTTGGAAGCTGAAAGGAAAGCTCTGAGAAGGCCCCAGGGGAAGCGATCATCAGTAGCATAGGTCTCCGGGGAAGGCAGGTGAAAGCGGGGCAGCACAGGGGACAGCAGGCCTGCGGAGAAGTGGAGAGGCGATGCTCCGCAGCCCGCAGGCCTGAGCTGGTACTGCCTGCCTCCCGCCCCAGCCTGGGACCCACAGCCAGCCCTCTCTGGGCTGTTTTCCCATCGGCACCTCCCTCGTTCGTTCTGCTTGCCTTGCCAGTCCGACTCGGTAACCACACTTCCCTGCACCCCTTATATTTTTTCCATTTACGTTCATTTTAGCCAACATTTACTAATCACTGACGGTGTGCCAGGCCCCGGGGCGGGGGCAGGTGTCAAGGACTCAAGTCCTTGTCTTTGAGAAACCATGGTCCAGTGGTGGCAAGAAACAACTAGAAATAACCAGAGCACGGTGCACCGTTGTGAGCAGGGCTATGATGGCCTGGCCGGGTGTGGGAGTCTCCTGCCCCTAAGCTGCCAAGTGTTGCTGGAGAAAACCCCGAAAGAAGATCGGTTGCTGAGACTACAGGCGGGCCCTCCGTCCTGCTGAGCAATGTAAAACATGCATGCTCACTTCCTTTTCCACAGGGCCGCCTTGCTTTCCCTAGTTGGCTCCCCTTCCTCCTAACTCATCCTTTCATGGTCTTAGTGAAAACCAACTGCTGTAAACAACGCAAAAGTAAGCATTCATTCCATTTTTGCCTACTTCGGACAAAGGTTTGGTTTGTTTGGGAACAACGACAGGATGGAGACAGCGGAGACGCGGGGTATCGGAACATTCGCTGAGCATCTCGTGGGAGCTGGCACCAACACTGTGGTAGTGAACAAGGTCCCTGCCCTCACGATACTCACAGCCGTGCGGAGCTAGCTGCTCTGGTGGACAGTCCCTTCCTAAGGGAAGCAGGCAGGAAAAATTCAAGGGGTGAGGGCAGTGGAATTCGGTCCCTTCAGGGCAGTGACAAACGGATGGCTTTGGGCATTCAGGCCTTCAAAAACAGAAACCGCACGCCCTTTCCCCAGCAGGCCTACATAAGGTAGTCCTGAGGCAGTAACTGAACTCGGGTAGTAAATGAAGATCTAACTCTCCGTAGTATTCACAGATGCCATCTTTAATTCCATAGGAGAAAGGTTAATAAGAGTTTTGTAGCCTTTTGTTGGTATACAGAAACTCCGTGTATGTTTTATGTTTTTATGGGGCCTGCCCAGAATTTTCTTTATAATCTCTGGGGCCGTATTCTATACCACAAAAATCTATTATGATCACCTACGTCATTATTAAGGAAGGCAAGGTAGCAAAGATAGGTTCACATGTGGTGAATTCTTGGAAAGTATATATTGACAGCTACGTACATAGGATTAGCCATCCTTAGAAAACTCATGTTCATTCATTCACCAAATAATTATCAGTAATTACCAAGCTCCTACTATGGAGACATGGGTAAATACATAATTGTTCATTACTACTGTAATATATGGTAGATTATATTTCCAGACTTTAAGGTTCTCTTCCATATCTCCGGCCCTGACCACCCCCCTAATCTCAGATGCAGCTGCCTGCTAGACACCTGTACCCAAATGACCCACAAGTATTTCTGGTCCCAAACAACTCAGGTTCCTCCCCCTCCTGTCGAGGATGTCAACCACCTATCCACTCAGCACTGAGGGTCATACTTGACTCCATCCTCACTCCCTACAGCCAATCACTGTATCGTTTGTCCAATTCCTCTCCCTCCTCTCCATTCCTTCACTGCCCTTGTTCAGGTTACCATTATTTATTCATTCATTCACTATTTTTTGAGCATACACCATGTGCCATTTATGATCTAGACTCTGGAGTTACATCAGTGACTAAAACACAAAATTCCTGCCTTCGTGGAGCTTACATTCAAGTGGAGAAAGTCAATAAAACAAGAAAAATAAGCATTGTTAGAAAGTGACAGGTGCGGGGCGCCTAGCTGGCTCAGTCACAGCATGCGACTCTTGATCTCAGGGTTGTGAGTTCGAGCCCCATGTTGGGTGTAGAGATTATTTAAAAGAAAGTGACAGGTGCTTGAGAGAAATAATAAATGAGGGAAAGGGAATATGATGTTCATGGTTGGGGAGTTGAGAAAGGCCTACATGAGAAGGTGACTTCGGAATAAAGACTTGAGAAGGAAATGAGGGAGCTAGCTCCATGGGTATCTGGGGGTACAAGCCTCCAAAGGAAAAAGTATGTGAAAAGGCCCTGGGGGGGGGGTAGGAGCATGCCTGGTCTGCTCAGGAATGGCAAAGAGGCCATAACGGCTGGAGTAGAGTGAGCAAGGAGGAGGGCAGCCAAAAGGGATGGAGTAAAGTCGGAGAGCTAACCGGCAAGATCCTATAGGTCAGAGTTAGGACTTGGGCTTTTCTTCCCAATGATACAGGAACCAACACAAAGTTTTGAGCAGAGGTGTGATATAATCTGACTTAATACTTTAAAATAAAAGGATCCCTCTGGCTGCTGTGTTGAAAACAGACCAACGCAGGGGAAAGAAGGACAAAGAGAGGATAAGCTCTTGCAATAGTCTAGTGGAGAAATGATGGTCGCCTGGACCGGATGGTGGCAGTGGAAATAGTCAGAAGTGATCACATTCTGAACATACTTTGTAGGTAGAGCCCACGGAATTTGCTGACTGACCAGATGTGGGGGGGTGAAAGAGTCAAAGATTTTTTAAGCAACCGGAAGGATGGAGAAAGGATTCAGATGGGGAAAACTGCAAGAAAAATGGTGTGTGTGTGTGTGTGTGTTTGGTGGTGCAGGGGTTATCAGGGGCTAGGTTGTGGACATGTGAAGCCATGAGATGGAGATCATCATGGGAGTAAGTATAGACTGAAGGGAAGAGATTTGGGGCTGAGGTCTGGAGCGCTCAAACATTTAGACATAAGATAAAGAACCAGAGAGGGCGCCTGGGTGGCTCAGTTGGTTAAGCAACTGCCTTCGGCTCAGGCCATGATCCTGGAATCCCGGGATCGAGTCCCGCATTGGGGTCCCTGCTCAGCAGGGAGTCTGCTTCTCCCTCTGACCCTCTTCCCTCTCGTGCTTTCTATCTCTCATTCTCTCTCTCTCAAATAAATAAATAAAATCTTTAAAAAAAAAAAAGATAAAGAACCAGAGAAAGAGATTTTTTTTTTAAAGATTTTATTTAGGGAACACAAGCAGGGGGAGTGGGAGAGGGAGAAGCAGGCTTCCCGCTGAGCGGGGAGCCCGATGTGGGGCTCAATCCCAAGACCCTGGGATCATGACCTGAGCCAAAGGCAGACGCTTAACGACTGAGCCACCCAGGCATCCCCCAAGAGAAAGAGATTCTGAAGGAG